ACCAATCAATCAATCAACAGCATAATTTTCAAGTATTGACTTTTTTTCAATGTCTCGTTCTCTTCCGCGAACCATTAGGGGAGTGCTCGTCTTTCAAATGTTTTTGCAGAACGTCGTCTTCCTGACTTCAAAAAACACATTTATCCTTTCACGTGAACTTAATTGTTCACACTGCCATGCTCTAATCTACATTATGCAGATTCATTACCATAATTGCGTTCTCTCTAGCTTTGTGTGCGTTATTGTTTTTTACGAAGTTTTGCATATATTCGTAAACGTACGTTTCATATTGTTTGCTAGTGTATGTTTATCGTTCAATAGCGATGCTTACTACAGCCTCCTGTATAACTGTTTCCATTGCGTTCACAACGTTCCTTCTCCCCCTCCCCCGTTGCCCCCCTCCCTTTCGCTTTGTTTTCAGGCTGTAGCAGGCACTGAATAAAAATGAAATATAGTAACTGCCTGTCGCTTCTCCCCGGTGGCTGGGGCAGTTTTGTAAGTGTCCTTTTCGAATTGGCGTCGGCATGGTTCATGCTGTTGGTCTTGAAAGCCCGGGAACAATGCTTTGAAGGTCATGCATAGCAGTGGCGTGCTCTCGTGTGTTGCGTGTTTGTTTGCCTGTATTTGAAACGTCCACTTCGTTGATTGCACCCAGGAGTGCCGTTGAAGCCAAGAAGTAAGTCAGTGAAAGCAGCACATATGAAACAACTACATTGTCGCTTTATTACAGCAGGTTTTTATCGACAACTTTCGTTCGCTTGCTCGCTCCTGCAGAGCTGACGCGCATTGAAAAAAAAAACACGAACAAACAAACAGAAACAACAATACTCCCGCAAGAGCCAGCTTAAAAGTTGGGAACACAGGATGTCCAGGTTTTAAAACGCACCTGTTTTGAGGCTATAATATTTAATCTTGGCATATTAAATCTCGGTGGCGTCGAAGAAGCTCACACGCCTAGCCATACTAATCGGCGTGAAACTGTCGCAGACAATTTTTGTCTTCTGCGACAACTGCTGTGCCGTACCGATCCTCAGTACTCATTTTCTACGATGACTTTGCGGTATGAGAAAAAAAAAATTCAGCATTCAAGTGGAAAGGGTATATCACGCCCTCAAACAGATTGCGCTATTTGAACAGTTGACTACACACTGATAGCTCTCTGCGTTTATCGAGCAATAGTCGCGCTATCTGGCGGTAAGTTTCTCGAGCCAATATTCGGAAGTCTTGCGACACCTTCGATTTTCCGCGTCTACTCAACGCCTGCCTGATACAGCGATCTGTCACACCGTACCTAAGATAGCGCTTCGCTTCGAAAGATCAATGCGTAATAAATGCTGCCGTGAGTTTTGATTCCAAGGCGCTTTGCTGGCAGGAACAAAAAAAAAAAGAAATATTTTTAGTGCTGACAGCTGTGCACTTAGTTAAGAGCATTTGTGTTTTGTGTCTGGGTACATTCGTATAGATATGTATAAACGTTATATATGCAATACATATACTTTTTTTTTTCATCTTTGACATGTACTCGGACGCACGGCCATGCAGAAAACAGGGCGTCTGTTGAACACACCACACGCACGCATGCGTAAGGACACAACTCCCGTTTTGTCAAAGTGTTCCGTACGCCTTGAACGCATCGTCTTAAGTAGAGTACTACATTAGGGCTAATTGTATGGAGACCCTTACGCTAACCTGCTACGTCATCGGTACTGCGCTCATCGTGACGTTTATGTACGCTTTCATAGTCTAACTCACATGCTAAGCACCGTCACTTGTCGAGCATCACCTTGCTACACAGTCTCACTTATTCTCAAAGGTGCCCTCCAAAGCTTTTTTAGAGTAAACATCGAAAGAAAGACTTCAATAAGAGTTCTATTGCCTTGTGAATACATTGCCGCCATGCTCGCTGGAAGCAACGCAGCGGGGTGATGGCAAAGGAGCAAGGAGCTGTGTCATCGCGCGTCATGAGTTGGAATGTGTGCTGGAGATTGTCTGATCAGCCAATGACCTTGTACTATGCTTCAATGACGTAGTCTGTCTTGCCGATGACGTAATTTGCTTAGAGCAGGGTGAGAGATCTCTAGCCGTACTTAAAACATAATCTTAGAGGCAAGGAGCCACGTGATGCGTCATGACCTCCAATGTGTCCTGGCAGTCATAAGTTCAGTCAACGACCATATTCTATATAACTTCGACGACGTAGTCTGACCTGCCAATGACGTAAGTTGTTTAGAGCAGGGCGAGCGACTTTTTGCCTGTATTTAAAATATAATTTTGAATTTCCCGGACACCCAGGGAGTCTCTACATAACCAGAGAATGTGGCCCTCGCAGAATCTCTATATAACCAGAGATTGTGGCCCTTGCAGGGCCACATTCTCTGGTTATGTAAAGAAAAAAGTTTCGCGAGACCGCTTTAAAGACTTGCGTTCGAGGCGCAGGGAACACTTTGAAAGGGAAGAACACTTTCAGGAGAATCTCAGCGAGTGTGTACTAGTATAAGATACAAATATAAGTATATCAATCATATGCATATATAGATGTCTCTCTTTTACTTCTTCAGCGAAAATTGTAACGACGACCAGCCGACTAGCTTGAAAATGGCAGGAATGATGGCGGCGTAGCACAACATAAGCATCTCCTAAGCCCCACACGCCGTCACAAAACATGAGGTGCAAAGCGATAGGGCAGCGCGCAAGCGACTCAGGGCACTGCGGGCGTCCAAACAAAGCAACACGAAAAGATTTGCATAGAAGTGCGACCAGAGATAACGTGATGAGAAACAACAGCAACGCACAGGGTACCAATCCTTAAATGTCAGCTTATGATTCTTTTAGCGTGTTTAGTACGAATGACGCCGGTTATTAGTTAGCAAAATTGTTCAACTTGATCTTTGCTTTCTCTCCCAGACGCCCAGGTGACGTCACTTTAACGTAACAGCAGCGTGACCTATTTGTACGTTTTCTTTTTTGTTTTCCTTGATTGCCATGATGAAATAGTAGCTGTAATTTCAGGCTTCCACCAAGTAGTGTTTGTTATCATGCAGGCGTACATCTAGTAGTGAGTGGAAGGCGCCGTGGAAATTATATAGGTTCATTAGCTTACTTCGATGGAGGTCATTTTTAACTCAACTTTTACTCAACTTTTGCTCGCGGTGTGGCCCACTTGTCTGGTGATATAAAACGCATCAACTCTCAATATTTCGAGTAGAAACATTCACCCATCTTTTCTCCTGTTTCGGTAAACACGGCGATGCTTTGCACGTAGTCCGAAATTGCATACGAAAACTGTTAAAGGCACCTGTCATGTCATTGAAATATAAGGCGCGTTCAAATAGTTAAGTCAAAAGCAGCGTAGTCATTCTGACGCGTAATTTGCACTTGAGAGAGGCACTGACTGACCAGGTTTAAGCGGTGTAAGGCAACTAATACTTTTCTTCTGGTTATATTAGGAACTCTCGCTTTTCAAAACCGCAAAACGATGTGTTTCCTTTGATTATCATAACGAATAGAGGGGGAGATATGACAGACGTGAAGATAATGCCGAAAACGTTCACAAACATGCTACGGCTTACAGGCCAATGGTAATGACGATATGTTGCTATAGTCGTTCAGACAACAGCGGTTGCTTTACCACTCCTCAAATTTGCTTCTTTCCCAGAATTTCGTAACTAGGAACCATTCTTTCCGGAATTCTTAATTAGGAAAGTGGCGTTCACGTCAGCTTTGCAACAGACCTCTTCCAAATGATAAACCAATATTCCACCCTGCTTTCCGCAGTTTTACTAGACTCTGTCTTGATGTTTTTTTATGTGGTTTGTAGGTTTTTAATGTGTTATAATATGAGGGCATGTGATGTCGAGGACATCAGTCGAAAGCGGTAACGCCAGTTTAGGAAGAGCTCATGCAAAGCTTCGCGTTATCATTTGCTGCAACCGTGCGTGCGTCGCATGCTGACTTGCGGGCCCCCGTTAAGTGACGGCAATAGCGGGCGATCACAGTGAGCGCTAACTTAGAGTACGCTATTCTAAAACACCCAAGTTATGCACATACAAGCAACGTATTAAAGAAAGACCCCAAGATGTTTCTTGGTCCCAGAAGTTTACTGAACCATGGAAGCTTACCGAACTGCAGAAAGTTCTTTAGCCCCGAAAAGTTTTTAATCTACAAGAAGTTGCGCAACGAAATTATCGAACCTTAGAAAGTTCCAGAACTGCAGAAGGTTTTCGAGCCCGAAAATGTTCCTGAGCCCCGAAAAGTTTCCGAAATAAAGAAAGCTTCCAAACTGACTGCAGGAAAATAGAGACCATCGGAGAGTTCCAGTAATGAAGTTCCTAGACTACAGAAAGTTAGTGAACCCCAGAAAGTTTCTGCATATGCTGGAAACAGTACACGAGTACGCATTTGTGTTGGTCTATGTATCTGTGTGTGTTTGCATGAATGGCAGCCTAGACGGCATTCGCGCACTTAGGAAGAAGCGTGCCCTAATTGTAGCTATTCTTTTTCTCACTGCAGCCGGCTTAAACAAAACGTAAAATCTCTGATTAAAAAAAAAACGAACAGATGCGCCATGCATATGGTATATAAATGCGTTAAGTATTCCATCAACGTAAACTGACACACTGTGAAAAACGAAACAACAAACAAAAATATATATTAACAACTGCACTATTCTGTGTATGTACAAAGCCTATTTGCGCCGACTAGGCGCCAACAACTGGAATTTTTATCTTTATTTTATCGTAAATTCCAGGCCTGGTCAGGCCTTGATGTTTCCTTTATTTACCGAAATATACATAGAACCCGATCTCGGCACTGAAACTGGAAATGATCTCTGCATACCTTCATTGACGTTTTGTGCCGTGTTGAGCAGATCTTCGCGTTCTTTCAAACGCAACCAAATGACAACTTCTTTCTTTATCGTAACAACATGGTCCTAGCACATTTAAATTTATCTGCTCACTTATTTAAACGCTAGACAACTACACACCTTCGTATTTATGTGATATACCGTGGACTGATATACCGTGCCGATGTATGTACTGCACCAACAACGAAGACAAACACTGAAGGCAATTTCTGTTACCAGGCACGTTTTGCTCACAGGAAGCTCAAGCTATGTGACGATCACTTATGCACCAAGACTGCATACTTAGACAAGCTTAAAGCGTACTGCTATACGTCACGAGCATGTTTACACGAAGCACACCACAATGCAGCCTATAAACATTTTAGTATGCATGCAACGTTCTAACGTACCTGCAAGCAGGTGGGTTTGTCTACTTTTTTAAATCTCTAAGGCACATCGAAGCGCATGCATTAATAAGCCAAGCTTGGTCGTTCAAACATGTAGTTACTGTAAATGTTCGCGCTACGCTATATCCGTAATACGTTGGTCCCCAGTTTTGCACATTCTGCACTACTGCGTCAAACAAGGTTACCCCCTTCATGCTACAGACACTTCTCGGTCAGTGTATAGGGGAGGCAACCAGGTCTGAGGCGAGTTGTTTTCTTTGTTTTTCTTTCCTTCATTCCATTCGTCGAGCAGTAAAGCGCTTGACATAATGTACTACGTATTCTACCATTGGTCCCGTTATACAGCGTAACGTCTCTAAAAATTAGCAAATAGAACAACAGCTCTTGACAACTGGCTTCAACACGCACACATTTCTAAGACGAGAATAAACCGGACACTATTGCACACTGAACAACATTGGCTCTCCTACAAGGGGCCAGCGCAGATCACGAACAGAGAAGAAGAAAAAAAAAACATGTGGACGAAATGGCCGTCCTTCGCTAAGGACAGCGAGAGAATACACAACACTCTTTCTGAATATGGATGGTGCGAAGTGCCTCCCACCAAAGGCGCTTCGTGCGAGTCAAGATCAATCACTGTCGCGTGACCAACGCACGCGCGAGCAGCACAGTTCACGTGCTACGGCGCACGCGCAGTGGCGAGCTGGCACCGCAGAAGTGTCCGCAGCCTCGGTCGAGGGGTCATCGCAAACTCTTGCACTTGGGTGCATCAGGTAAAACAAGGGGAAGCCACCACACGCTAGTCCACGGTGCGGTCGCCGCGAAGGGAGCTTGATCAGCACGGGGGAGTACAAGTTGAGTAAGAGCACGATAAGGGAACGCAGTCGGGAACTGCTCAAGTCGTTGGGGGAACATACAGAAGTCGCACAATCCGAGTGTTTCGGAGAAAAAAAACTTAACAACGAGGAGTGGGTTTGTTCGCCTTGGTGACAAACTCAGCGGGGTGGTTGCCGATTATGGGCTCACAGCGACGTGTGCCGCTTCATGTGCAGCGACAGGTGGTCGGATCGCGAGAAGGCCCGTTCGCAGAGCCGGCACTGGAACGGCCTGTCGCCAGTGTGCTTGCGGTAGTGCCTGGTGAGTTCGTCGGAGCGGGCGAACTTCCAGCCGCACTCCTTCCAGTTGCACTGGTACGGCTTCTCGCCCGTGTGTGTCCGCAAGTGGGCCTTGAGGTGCGAGCTCTTGGTGTAGCTCTTGCTGCAGCCGGGATGCGAGCAAGTGTGGATGGTCACCTTCTTTCGACTCACCGCTGTTCGAGACTGCTGCTGTTGCTGCTGCTGATGTGGCTGGTGGGACTTCTTGCCGGTGGTCCCACCGAGCGGGGAGGACCGGCAGTATGGATCGGTCATGTGAATGTCGGGCGTGAGCGGCGTCGCCGGGAAGTGATTCGGTGGTGCCATCGTGGTGCCGGCGCTCAGGAGGTCCGCTAATCTCGGAGAGGAAGGTGGGGTCACCATGCGTAAGTGCGGGGGCGTCTGCTGCTTGCCGTGGTGCTGCTGGGGTGGCTGCTGGAGGCACTGGCTGAGAATGTCATCGGCCTTCATCGGAATAGAGTGCATCGAGGGCAGCGTAGTCTGGTACTGGTTGCCGCCGTCCACGTGAGCCAGCTGCGGCTGTCCCAGCTGGGAGTGGTCCGGTGACGCCGGTGGCGACATCTGGCTTGACGGTGGCGCTTGGAGTGGGTTCGCACTTTGGTAGTTGGCCCAGAGGGCTGTGTACTGGGAGCCCGACAGCATGGACGTCATGTCGAAAGGATTTCCAGCGGCTTCCGCCTTCATCGTCTGAGCAGTGGACTGCTGGTACGTCAGGTGGTCCATGGAAGAGGCTGCGTTGTTTGTCGAAACCACACTGCTGGCGAATGGTTGTTGTTGTTGCTGCTCGGGCTGTTCATGCCTCTGTTGCTGCTCGTGGGGTTGCTGCTCATGCTGAGGCTTGAGCTCGTTCTCGGTGTCGTACGAATTTACTTCGGGGTACAGAGCGGCATCGTCAGAGTTTAGCATGAAGTCGAAGTCTAGCGTGACGAAGCCCGTTGACGGCGTTGCGGTGTTCAGTGGGTGGGCGCTCTGGCCTTCGGGCGATGAGTCTTGCCTGGTCTGCGGTGGGTCTTGCGGTGGCAGTGACGGCTGCGTAGGCGGCGCGACGGTCGGTGTTTGCCGTTGAAGCGACGGCGGTCGGTTCGGAACGGGAGCCATCAGTGCGGCGACCAGGATGGCACTGTTGGCTGGTACGACGGACGGCGCTTGGTTCCTGCTGGTTTCGGTGGCCTTGTAATCGTAGCCGACATCACGATTGACTTGTGTCTCTGGCTCTGGCTTGACGCCCGATGCTGCGTGCCTCGCACCGCTGATGTCGTCAAGGAGCACGCTTTCGATATCTTGCCAGACCTGGGCGAGAAAAAGAAGAGAAAGTGACGATAAGTTTTCTATCTCGAAAATCGTTACTACATCTGTTAGATATAAGGTGTATAGCACGTACAGTGTGACAAATAGACCATGACACAGAAAATTCGACATATTTACACCATTCTTTCGCGCTGCTTCGAAAACGCACGCACCACTTTCACAGTGCCATTGATTGGTGCAAAACAAGTGCATATGGCTATTCGTACCTAAAAAAAAATGGGTATAGTGCTTAATAAGAAAACATTACGGCACTTTGACTTTGACAAAGGCAATCACGCTGTGCCTTACGTAGGAATATCATGTCGTTCTCCAGACTTGTTCACGCTTTGAACATTTGCAGAATGACGGTGAGATCTTCTGAAAAATCTCTCGCGTTCAGCAAGACGTCTGCATTTGGCCTGAATAATCTGATCTAACAATCTTGGCCACATGGTGATCTCGCTTTTTCTTAGCGAGATCTCACAGCCACATTTAATTGTCACACAGTGTACTGGGGTGGTTTCCCCGTCCCCTATTACCTGTATTCCTATGACGGCGCGGCCTAGAAACTTTTGAGCACCCCTGTAACGTGCTCATTTGATGAAGCGCCTCGTAAGCTGCCATATCCCTTCATTCTCCACGTATACGTTTCAGTATCCGGGCAGGACGTCGTTAAACGCAAATTTCGCAGAGAATGCAAGAAAGAAAAGAAGGAAGACTAAGTGTTTTACCCCACAAAGACTTCTCACTTTTCCCGAAGCAGCAACGAACGGGACCACAGCGAATGTTGGTCTTCGGCGTGGCTTTACGCACATGCTATTATTGCGTCAATCTCCGGCGTCGGCCCGAATGGCGGCATAATAAAGAGTAGGGGAACAGACGCCCTTGCTGCTCCGCGAGACTATCGGCCGCCAGGGGCGCCGAGGAGCTCACATTATCTTAATGTGACCACGGGAGTTATGTGGCGCAACTGTTGAAACGTGTCATGGCTGTAGCACCGCGTTTGGAGGGGGGGGGGGGGCGGAAGCATTTTACCGATCTCCCATTGTTTCTCTCACGTCGCAGCACTCTTGATCCTCAGTGACGTGTGTAATTCGACTCGACCGCAACGCGTAATTATTGTACTTCGCCGCCAGCCAATGCTCTCCAAGTGGTGGCGGGTACACGCAGTGAACATTGACGCCCCGAAGAAGCTGACTTTTTTCTTTCTTTCTTTTTCTCGTTCTTTCTTTCTTTCTTTCTTTCTTTCTTTCTTTCTTTCTTTCTTTCTCTCTTTCTTTCTTTCTTTCTATTGTCTTTCTTTCTTTTCCTTTTTTCTTTCTTTCTTTTATTTCTTCCTTTCTTTCTTTGTTTGTTCGTTTGTTTTTTTGTCTGTTTTCTTTCTTCCTGACGTCCTACTAGCTCATTCGTGTACCAACGCGTGGGTCTACCGGTAACTTGACCAGACACCGCGATAAGGCTGCATACAGCAAGTATCCCACTTGCAACCGCGCTCCGTATATGTGGCCGGCGGGCAAATATGCGAAAAGGTCGCGAGCTCGAGTAGCCTTTCCCTTGGATCCACGCTCACAGTCGACGCGCGCCGTTATTAGATATAACATCGCGTGGGATGATGCGCGGCTGTATGCGAGTCACCCGTAGCCATATTTAGTAAGCGGTCAACGTCAAACAGCGAATGCGTAGAACAATAAAACCTTGAATTTCTCAGCAAGTAGTAGCATGATACGATACGACGTATGCTTTCAGCAAGGGAACAGGAAATGTAATATCGCTACTTGAGTAATGGTAAACACGTGACAAAGACACCGGACGTACTACGCCATGTAAAGTAAAAAAAAAAAAGAAGGCTATTGGGTATTTTAATGCAGTTCGCTGCAAGTACCCACTTCGCCCACGTATACAAGCAAGCGGACGTACATATACTGAAAAGCAGTCTGATCCCCCTTCGACATAAAATTTGGTTACGCTCCAGGCGCGCATAGATATACGTCCCTATACCTTCATCCACGAGCATATATATAGATATGTGTATGCTTCTTCGGTTATTGGAGGGAAGGCGGGGCCACGTTTTACCGTACAGTACCTATATTTCCCTCCGCTCCCAATCTCCGCCCCCCCCCCTCTCCGCTTATGTCACAAACAAGCCGCGCTATGGCTGCAAAAATGAAGAACGAAGTGATGACGTGGTTCTCAGAACGTTCTGTCATTGGTGTCTGGATTTCGAGGGGTTGAAAGTGGCAAGCAGTTCTTCGATTGCAAGATCAGCTGGTCCTCAGTCATCGTACTGGTCATAACGCGGGTTTAGCGTAACCCGGCGCGTTAAAATTGGCGTTAAGGTCAAACTCAGTAAACGCACGGGACAGAATTGCTTCCCCCCTTTGGATGATTAGCGGGGCGGCCCTGGATATATGAGATTTCTTATACCGTCCGTCCCCTCGAGGGACCCGCCTCGTCAATTCTGTGTGCAAGGCTTCACATGAGTCATCGATGAAGGGCAATAACAGTACTGAGTGCACCGTTGATGTTAACGGCGTGCAGTGCCCGCAGGCCGCGTTCAATTATCTCCTTATAAAAGGGCCTTCCTTCTCCTTGGTTGTCTAAACGCCGACCAGATCCTATATCAGCCGTGGACCCCGACCATTTTTCGAGAGTCTATAGACGACACCTGAAGGACACCGTTCCACCGCTGTGAATACCTCAGACAGGAACACTTGGAAGGAAGGTCTTCCAAAATGAAGACGCCGCCCTCTCCCTCATCGCACTTGCTCACAGCCAATCCAATCAACTTTAGCGGCGTGAGATCTACATCTAGAGATACAAGCGAGAGTGCAACTGGATTGCGGTGGGCACCTCTTTCAGTCTGCTATTTGAATGACAGCTTCCTTTCCGCACTGCGGTTATATTAGTGATTATATACAACGATGTGGTGTGCGCTTATGCAGGTTTGTAAAATGGCGCGCTACAGTTAACCTTTACTGTTGTTCCTGCGGTTGTCTCACGATGAACCGGACAGCTAATTCATGAGGGCTGGTGCAACGTTTTCTTTTTACGTTAACACATCAACTCTTTCTTTGGTAAGGCTAAGCAGCGCGAAAGACGGAACACGCAGAAAGACGCTCAGATGCAGCGCTGATGGCCGTCCTATAACACCTGTTTTATCAAATCTATCTATCTATCTATCTATCTATCTATCTATCTATCTATCTATCTATCTATCTATCTATCTATCTATCTATCTATCTATCTATCTATCTATCTATCTATCTATCCAAAAAATTATCTGCCCGTCTCGCTCACAGCACGTCGCAACCGCTAGACGATAAACTCGGTTACATTTGATACGATATGTTCGCGCGCCCTGCTCAGAAGCGATGGACACAGCGCGTGCATTATAGGTGCAAGTGTGTGCCAAGTGGACACAACAATGAGAGCATCGCCAGGGGCTCATAGCATCCACGGCGGCGAGCTCAGTGAATGTGCACTCCGAGTAAGTGTCCCCTCGAACCTCCTCTTTCCCCTCCAATTTCAATCTCTCTCTCCCTCTCTCTCAGTCTTGTGCATTGCCGCCGCTTCGCGGAGGCCCCGTTTTCCATTTTCTGTTTTCACTGGTATGTAGATGCGGGTTAATTGCGCCATTCCGAAACCACGTTTGCGAGCCAGCGAGTGTGCTGCGGCAGCGACACGCATTCCACGATGTCGCGGTGCGTGTGTGTGTGTGTGTGTGTGTGTGTGTGCAAACACCAGGGCCGTGGGACACACGTGTGTATTGCGGAGTAGCACACATACGCCCCGGAGAGAGGAGAGTGAGCGAGGGAATGGAAAACTTCTTATCGGACATCTGTTTCGTTTTATTCTCGTGTGCGCGCGTGTGGCCTCGCTTCTTTTTCGATGTGTTCAATTATGACGGTGATGCCGAACGCCCGCACTGTACTTGAAAGCAACCAAATGCGGGAGGGTCGATCGCACGACGATTAGTGTACGTTTACGGCACTCGCCTGCATATATACACGAGTTGAGATGCGATATCAGAAAGCGCAGGCAAGCTCGGCGTATGTTAGCCGCGGGGGTGGCAGTCATAGGGCACGTACGCATTTTGCGCGCTAATTAAGAGACTGATAGACGTACGCCGGTGAGGCCTGCATGGCGTGTGCGACATGGCGTCTATGAATTTTTTTTTGTTTTTTTTTAGAATAAAGTCATAAGCACCCCACTTAACTTGCAAAGTTACAGTCGGTGGCGTCAATTTGAGTCATGCGAAACATCATCTGATGACGTCATTCTATCACGTCATCACGATGTGTCAGGTCGCCAAAACTTGTGCTGTTACACACACGATTTCGTCATGCATCACTTCTCATCGTTGCTTGGTTGAAGGAGTACCGATCCCAGAGGCAATACAAGGCCAAGTGATGAGAAAAAAAATCGTCTAATGACGCCGATCTCAGAAGCCTAGCAAAACCACGTTGGGAGCACAAATCTTTCGATGGAGAGAGGACCAGCGCAATCAAACTAGAAGAAACAAAAGACAAAGATGGATTTCGCCTTCAAGCCGTCTTAGTCGAATCAAGTTGCCTAGTCAAGTCGCACCACGTCGTCCTCAAGTCGTCTTAACGGAACAAAGCACCTATTTTCTGGAAGTGTGTCGTCAGGGAAAGCATGGCTTTCGAGATCCGCTTCCCTTACACAGGGCCACCTGTCACTGGGCCACCTGTTTTCAGCAAAACTCGAGCTGAGCAACGACGGCACCCTGCCCGATGCTCATCATGAGTGAGTTGGTTGAATGTTTCCGTGATCGTCTGAAGCTTAACTCCTAATGGTAGTCGCAATGCTTCATTGAAAACTGTATACGTATGCATACGGCTTTTGATTTATATACATTCAACATAAACGGTAGGATATATTGACCATGTGCCTCCGGTGGATCGGTTTCTTTTTTTTTTTTTCAGCGCGCATTGTTTAGTGAGCCAGGAAGTTCATCGCGGAAAACCGACTTCAGGTGTGCAGTGCTAACCAACGCAGGGAAGTGGTCATTGCCAAACAACGAAGGTAGACACAACGTCTGGAATTACTGCGACAGTCCCCGCAATACGGTCTATATTTTATTTCAATTCGGTGTACTTCGATGAGTACAATGTTGGCAAATCCTGGTGTACACAGCCAGTGCATCTTCATACTGCAGTGCTTGCCGGTACATAACAACAGTATCGTATATACGTTAAAGAGATTACGATCACAGCGACATCTACAGCCGCATATATCTTTAACGTCCCCAGTGTTTCCTCTTGCCTCGCTAATGGTTAGCCCTACGCTAACCATTAACTTTAAAAAAAAACTATGAAAGAACACCTCACCAGTTCTTGCCTTGTTCGAGGGCACAACGACAAATTTAGAAACACCACGCTGTCGCCCCTGCCGTCTCTAAACGCAACGTCACCGCGACTTGTGCGCCCTCTATCAAGTTTCCTCCGAACGAGCGCGCGACTTGGCGAAGAAGAACACTGTGGCCGAAATGGGAATCCTATATTTGGCACCAATTTCGGGCTCGTTAGAGAGGGCGAATTATTAATTTCAGCAATCGTTCTCGAGTGTTGCCGCAGCTACATCTGGTCTCTTCGTCGCTGATTTTTCTTTTTTGTTTCTTAAACGGGCACGACGGTTTTTCCCTGGAAGGGTTACACAGACAGCCTGATTGCCTTTCCGGCGTGTTTTATTGCCGCAATTTGTTCTCTCGGCTGGTGGCTTCATACGTTTCCGCGTGCGTACCCTTCCTGCGCGCAACCGTAATTTGCTGCCATCGAAGCGCTTTGCGAAACGAGCTTGCGGCCGCAGCCGCCAAGCTCGTGCCGTTTCTGCGTCCCTCCTTATTTATTATGCGAGCTCGCGGGGGCTCCCAACTACACCCCCATTTCTCAAACTTCACTGAACCTGCAACCCCCTTTTGTTTAACGGTAGCGATCGACGCGAAGGAACCGCGCTGCAGCTATAACGACAGAAGAAATTATGCGGGCGTGAACGCTGACCGTGTCGCGTGATGACAAAGCTTTGGCAAACGAAACGCCAGATTCTTTCGAGAGGTCTATACCTATACCCCTTTTGAACCTAATACGGCTCAGTTCAAAAGCTCACTTATCAAAATGTCTCGCCAGCTTCTGCAACGGTTTGTGAAATCTTTTTAACCACGACATAGCACTTCACCTGCTTCTAGAAATAGAAGGCTTCATTACTTTTAGTAATAAGATACGCGCCACGGGCGAAGTTTGGAGCCTACTCATGTATAACCGAGTTAGCTACGTAAATGAAGTTTCGCTCTGGTTCACCCGCGGTGCACTCCAAATAAGGCGGGAGTTCGGAGGAAGATGGAAGCTTGTAGCGAAGAAATATCCTTACAACATTGGGTGTCGCTGGAGCTTTCGTCGTTAGTATACCTGTCTTCACCAAGGTAGCAATTCCATTCCTTAGCGCTTGTTGCGCATTCTTAGTACCCCCCCCCCCCCAAGTGAAATATTAGAGGAGGAGAGGGCAAGTGTGCTTGCCCTATTCTCGTCTTCTGTTTTAGTTGGGGACTATGCAGCTGCGCAGAGACTAGGGAGTTCTAGAATAG